CTGGGTCCTCCTGGAACTACCTAATTGTGCCCCTATTGCGATATCGACACTTCTATGGCTTCCCTCTGCCCTGCGTCGTTACCTTCAATTGCGACATTGGCTGATCTCATTGCGGAGCACATCTGTCTTCCCGTACCAGAAATCGCCTTTGAACTGCTTTGACAACAACGGCTGGGCGCCCCAGGCCTTACTTCCCTTCTTTATGCAGCTTTGAATAGACGCTCGCCGCATACTTCTCTTTCATATGTCGTTCAGTGGGAGCGCGACCTGGGAGTGGCCGTGGATCCGGAGGACTGGAATAAGGCCTGGTCACTCATAGCTAAATGCTCATTTAATACGACCACGCTGGAGGCAGCCTATAAGGTATTGTTTCGCTGGTACTGGGTTCCGGCTCGGTTGGCCCGGGCTAACCCTGCCTGTAGTGATCAATGTTTTTGGGGTTGTGGCCATCGTGGAGATGTATTGCATATCTGGTGGTCATGCCCGAGACTGTTTCATTTTTGGTCTCGTGTGTTTGGCCTCCTTTTCACCTTGTTCCATCTCTCTATCCGCCGGGATGCTCGGTATGCTTTGCTTCATTGTCCCATACCGGGCCTCTTGGCTCTCAGCAGAAGTTGGCTTCCTATCTGTTTTTATCGGCCACTAGAACAATTGCTCAGGCCTGGAAGAGTCCGGTTGTCCCTCTTCAGGGGGTGTGGGATCGTATGACCACTATGATGCTCAACGATCAGATGTCGAGTATCCGCAACGACTCCCAACATAAATTTTTGAAAGTATGGGAGCCGTGGTTGCAATATGCCTTTCCCACACTCTCCCCGGCTAGTCTGGGGATGTAATGGCGTTCGGTATTGGCGCTCTTGGACCCCTGCCCCTTGTCCCTCTCTTTTTTTTTTCCTTCTTTCTCTTTCTTCTTTCTTCCCCTCTTTCTTCTTTTTTCATTCTTTCTCTGTTTTGGTGTGACTGGCCTGCTGCATTTAGTTGTTATAGTCAGTTACAGTAATGTTTTGTAATTTATGTGCCATTGATAGCCTCTGTGTGGGCGTACCTTTTGCCCTGTTGGCATTAGAGCATTGTTTTTCCTTTTTTTTTTTTTTTTTTTTTTGCATTTTTTTCATCTGTGCAATTGATAGCCCCTGCGTGGGCGTATTTTATTGCCTCTCTTTTATACTGTTTAAAAATTAATAAAAACCATTGAAATAGAAAAAGCTGACAGAGAACATGGAAAAGTAGAAGGTGAGCCATCCATCTCTTGGTTTGGTAGAATCTGTGCGGTAAAAATAAATATCCTCCCCAGGCTATTGTATTTATTTAGGACATTGTCAACTGGTATCTCAAGCAAGGAACTCAAGTCTTTTAAGGAAAATGCTTTCATTTATATTTGAAGATAAGAGACCCAGGGTGAATAAGCGTACCTTCTATATCACAAAACAGAAGGGAGGTTTGGGAGTTCCAAACTTGCTGAAATACATCCAGGTGGCACAACTGGCACATCTGATCAAATTTCATTTGAAACAGTCCCTCCTTTCCTGGATGCAAACAGAATCTTCCTCTTGTAGTAAAAAGACAGGTTAACCACTTTATGTGGTTTCCAACCAAAGATACTTTGTCCATCTGTTCATTTACTTTGAACCGTTGAACTATTTTTTTTTAAAAGCTTTGGGACAGCAAACTGATCTATCAACAATGATGTCAATGGAGTATCTGTGTAAAAATATTTACAAGATACCGGGTCACATCTCTGTAATATATGGACTGCTTAATTCAAACAACGTAACCAACGGAATTGTAAACAATTCCATTATATAATCAAATACAAAGTGTTACTAAGATGGTACATGGTACTCATAAGAATAGCGTCATATGTCTCTATGTTATTTAGAGGGTGCAGACAAAAAGGGTCTGCATACCATACCTGGTGGTTAAAAGATTTTGGATTAGAGTTTATAATTTAATCTAATCTGTAACACAGATTAATCTAAAAAAAAATCCCCCTAGTAGGCCCTTCTTAATCAACCCATAGATGAGGCACCAAAACATACAAAAAATTGATCTAATTTATTTTCTTAGCAGCTAGGATAGCAATTGCTTGCTCTTGGAAATCTTCATCCATCTCGTTTGAATTAATAAAAGCTTGATTGTTGTGGATTATGGTGAATGAAAAGTGAACTGCTATCTTGAATGATAAAATACCTTTATACGACAAACCTTGGATACAGTATGTCTCAGATGAACAATGAATAACTCAGAATGTTGGGCTCTGGTGCACCTCTTGTTTTCTTCTCTTCTTTCTGTACCCATCTCCATCCTCTGCTATACCCTTTCCCTTCTTTCTTCACTTTTACATTACTTCATGGAGTTCTTTGGGAAACGTTTGATTTTGGTATCATCAAACATGCGACTTCAAATATGGAAGGCATGACCTTGTTTTTAGCAAGAAATAATTGTTTGGGACATTATAATACGTATCCTTCCACATTCCAATATTTGTAAACAATAGCAAACAATATGTTGACCTTTGTTTTCCATGTGATTTACATGGATGTGTACATGCTTTATTGTTTACATTTCATTTCCTATTACTGAACTCGACACAATAAAAAATCATTGGAAAAATCATGTATGCATTTTCACATTGTAGTATCTGCTTGCTCGTATGGGATGTGTGAGCAAGCAGATATACTGACAGGACAGGGGGAGACCTGCATGGCACCAATGATCTGCTGATCGCTGGTCCAATGCTTTAGAGCACAGGTGTCGAACACAAGGCCCGCGGGCTGAATCTGGCCCTGCAGACCATTTCATGTGGCTCTTGCACCTCTCCTGTAGGTACCCCCTTGTCATTGCCCCCACCTTGTCACAGCACTCGGCAGCAGAGTGAAGAATAAAACTTCTATGCCAAATCCTGCACCTGTGCAGCCTGCAAATCTTGCAGCTGCAGCACCCCTTCAACTCTGTCTCCCCTGGTCTCAGCATTCAGCAGACTCTGGTAACTGACTTACAGGTGAAACTAAAAAAAATGAGAATATCGTGCAAACGTTCATTTCAGTAATGCAACTTAGAAGGTGAAACTAATATATGAAATTTGGGGTTTGCATGAGCCATAATCATCACAATTATGACAAATCACGGCTTGAACTATTTTGCTTTGCATGTAATGAGTCTATCTCATATATTAGTTTCACCTTTTAAGTTGCATTACTGAAATACATGAACTTTTGCACGATATTCTAATTTTTCGAGTTTCACGTGTAACTCCTCCTCTGGTCCTCCTCCAGACCCTGCACTTTCTGCTTTACAGCTCTGCCCCCAAAGGGGGTGCACGGTGATGTTAGGGAAGGTGTGGGATTCTTGACATTTGATGTAATGGGGGGTGAGGTGCTCTGGACATCTGGTCTTACAGATACAACCAGCCCTTTGAGGGCAATCATAATGCTGATATGGCCCACGATGAAATGGAGTTTGACATCCCTGCTTTAGAGGCTCCAGAAACAAAAAATAATAAATGCTAATTTTTTTGACCTGCAAAAAAAATAAGCATTTATTATTTTTTTGTCAAAAGGTGAACTTATCCTTTAAACTAAATAATCACAAGAAAAGAACTGTGGTATTGTATTACATGGATGTCACACAATTGAAAGGGCTTTTCAAGAACTTTTTTAAATATGTAAAAAAGGAATCTAGTAGTTAACTTAAAAATGTATATATTCAATAACAACAATAAGGAAGATTATGCATTAAAAAATGTCAGTCATATAAAAAATATAAAAGTTCTTTTTAAAAATTGCAATAACTCAAAATGGAAAATTAAGAGTGCAAACAAAAATCATACTGATTCACTTTTACTTTATACGCCAAAAATGACTGCCCTCGAGGAGCTTCCAGTCTAAATACAGTTGTGTCTCACAAATCTGCCACTATTCTTCAGGGTAAAGGGGATTGTTTCAGAAATGTATTTCACTCTTACATTTGACCTGTACTTTTCAAAATTTCCATAATCCAATATAATATTGCTACCTCACTTTCATCCAGATCCTATTAAAATTTCATATGGCATAGGATGAATTTCAGTACATATCCCCTAACTATTAAATCAATCGTATACTGCATACATTTGTATTCAAAGAAAAACTCCTCCCAAGTGTTTTGGAAGGAAGAAAGGTTGGTTGGCCCAACATCTGGTGGTACTGCTTATCTTTGCTATCCCTGTTCAAGAAAGAAAAAGTGAGACTTCTGCATCAGATGGATGCTTTGCTAGCTAAGGCATAAAAGAAGATCTAAAACAGCCTCCTTGTTTGGATTGCTCCTGTACAAACCATGGGAGATCAAAACACAACACAGTTACTGTATTTGGGTCTGTGCATAAAGTAGCAAGATAACTTCCCTTTTCTCTCATCTCATTTTACTTTGTCTAGTAGTTGTTTTTCAGATTTTAGGCTTTATGCGCACAGGACGTTTGGAAAACTCTTCTAGAAGCTTTTCCTTCTGGCAGCAGCGTTTTCGGAGAAAAAAGGTCTGATGCTTGTAAAAGTGTCTAATGCTTTTACAACCGTTTCGGGGTGTTTACAGACGTCAAGCGCTTGGGCATTAATTAATTTCATTGGCCAGAATAATAATTTATTATAGCCATTGAAATTAATGCTCAAGTGCTAAACGCACCAAGCGTTAACATGCATATAGAACCCTACCTCCACCTAAGAACTGTACTTGAATCACCTCCACCAGATCATCCCCCCCAGCTATCACCTATTGTATCATCTCCCCCTTCCTTTAGATTGTAAGCTCCACGAGCAGGGCCCTCACATTTCTTATGTACTGAAATGTATTGTAATTGTACTGTCTCCCTTATATTGTAAAGCGCAAACTGTTGGCGCTATATAAATCCTGTATAATAATAATATAGACACGTTTACAAATGTTTTTCTGCCAAAATACTGCTGTTTCTGGATGTACTGGCAGTGGTTTTTTTTTTCCTGCCTCTAAATGCTGCTAAAAGTCTTTGTGTGTATGGACACATAGGCTAACATGGAGGGGCAGGAAAAAAAAACGCCTGATGCCCCTAAAAGCAACAGTAAAAATGTCCTGTGTGCATGAGGCCTTACGCCACCCGGTCACATCAAGCCTGACTTTGAAACTGTGCAACTTACAGTGAAGTTGTACGATTTCAAAGTCAGGTGAGATGCCGATTTCAGGTGCGATTTGCAAGACATCTGACACAGATGTCTATGCAAATTGCACCAAAAGTAGTATATGTACTACTTTAGAAATTGGTGTGGCTCCAACCAAGTCAGAACCGCACCGATTTGACCACTCTAATTGCGACCTGGCATACGATTTGCAAGTCGCATGGCATGCAAATTGCATGCCAAGTCGCAACCGCTGTGACCAGGGTGTTAATGTTTCATAATGCAATGCTGCAAGTTGAAATTGAAAGAATAGAACATAAGTCTATTAGTTAAAAAAAAAAAAAGCAAAAAGTCTGGTAAAATAATACAAAATGGCAAATATGGAAACAAAATTACTCATGACAGCTTTATATATAGGTAAAATCTTCCTAAACAGGCTCTAGTATCATTTATATAGATGCCAGTTGTGCAGGAGAGGAGCTTAAAGAAGAACTTCTCTTCCCCGTTTAGATTTATTTTTCCTGCTTTTACTTGAACCACTTGTCTTCAAAAAACATACTGACATGGCCAGCAAATCCAGAGTTATCTGGAGAAACCTGTCACTCAGCCGCCAGATGCTCATGCCACTATCTACTATACTGACATCATCACGGGGGCCAAGTGTCCCTTCTCAGTTCTTGCACCCGGACTCCTGATGACATGCTGCGGAATGTAGACAGTGTGCCCAAGATTTCCCAATGCATGTGCAGCGTGCTACACATTGCCCCTATGCTTCCTAGGATGACATAAGAATTCCAAGAGCATTCAGGAAAGGAATTGTGATGGATTTGGTAAAATGCCTATTCTGTTTCCTGTTTAAAATATACATTTTATACATATTTACTTTTATACTGTTTCATATTTCTAAATATATGTGTTGTGCGTATATATATTTTTGTCTGCTGGGCTTTGCAGTCCTCCTTAATTTGTTTTGCTCAGAGTGATGTTCTCAATCCCTCCCTTCGCACTGAGAGGACCTTATACTTGGGCTTTGAGTATGTGAGGGGGAGTGACAAAGATAACGGGCGAGAAGCAAGCATCAAGTTTCTACATTTCTCCTATATTTCAGCCAAGCAAAATGTGCCTTTTAGAATGTGACTGTATTTACGTAATAGTGACGTATACTCTATTGTTTTCTATGTATAAAAGGTTAAGCACCGCCCTGCAATAAACAGAGATGATGTGAAAGTGGTTGTATTGGACAGTTGTCCGTGTAATTATTTTCTGGCGTGCACGCAATCCATATCTCAAAATTAGGAACAGCAGCAGAAATCCTACCCTGAGCCTGATTGTGGTTCTCACAACCTTTTTAGAATGACATCATTCTCACCTAGGCAAGAAACTAAGAAGTGTGGGGCTGGGACCTACCAAAAAGGTATTACAGGGAAAAAAGAAAATTAAATCTCTGATTGTGTAACAGAAGGGGGGAGGAAGAAAAATCTGTAAAGTACCTAAAGAAGGTGAAAATCCGCTTTAACAAAAGTAGGCCGGGCACTGAGGATGCAATGGCAGCCCAGGTGTGGTATCACTGCAAGTAATTTTGACCACTTAAACATAAATTGCAGGCATTGGCTAACCAGGTATATATTAGTGGTTGACTGAAGAATGGAAAATGCCCACTATAGGGCTTTACAGAGCCATACAAAGCAGAACCATACAAAGCAGTGAGCTTACAGTGGAAAGCACACACACAGCCTCATAGTAAAACACACAGCACACAGTTAACCCTTTGATCGCCCCAGATGTTAACCCCTTCCTGCCCACTGTCATTAGTACAGTGTCAGTGCTTTTTAATAGCACTGATCACTGTACTTGTGTCACTGGGTATATCAGTGACACCAAGTCAGTTCCCCCCCAGTGTCAGAAAAATGGCCTGGTCAGGAAGGGGGGTAAATCCTCTGGAGGACAAGTGGTTAAATACCAGTCATGTTTTATTTTGTCATCTACGGGGTCAATTTACTACAGCTTAACTTTCCAAAGAATACCCAATCACATGTAAGGAAAATTTAAAAAAAAACAGCACATAATTGGCTGGTGGAAGTCAGCAGAGCTTCTGCCCATTTACTAAGCTCTGGAGTGACTGCTATTGCAAAGTGCTATTTGCCTTTAGTAAATCAACCCCTATGTCTCATGGTGGAGTCGCCTTCATTCCCTGCCTAGTATACACCAATGAAAGTCAGAGAAAAATCTTGTGAAAGTGGCAAAACTTAGCAAATAAAGAAGTGGTTTTCTGTTGATTTTGACTACTTAAAAATGTTAAAGACACAGGGCACATTGTTTTTTCTGAAATAAAATAAATTTTTCTAGAATCAAATCAAATTTGTCTATTATTTCTAAGTTATGGGGATAATATACTGGGCACAATTCACTCATCCGAGTATGCGGTAGCATACCGTATACCATTTTAAAGAAAATTGAGGGGAGCCTCCACGCCAAAAGTTTTAAAAAAGTGGTGTGGGGGTTCCCTCCTAAAATCCATAACAGACCCTTATCTGAGTATGCAGCCCGGCAGGTCAGGAAAGGGGGGGAACAAGCGAGCACCCCAAGATCCCATCCCCCCCATGTGAATGAATATTGGGTACATGGTACCGCTACCCATTCACAAAAAATAACAAAAGAAAAAAGACAGGAGACAGTCTGACAAGTCCTTTATTAAAAGAAGAAAAATAAAAGAATGTCCCCTGAAGTAGATCCAACGTCAATCACAATGCCCGCCGCTGCTACCCGAAAAAAAAAAAAAGGCTCCGCTCCCAACGCTGGCTCCCATCCATCTGAAAGCTCCACTGGCTTCACAGTTGTTAAATATGTAAGGGGCAGGGCCACCAGTGATTTCACCTATGTGACCCCGCCCCTGTGTGACATCATCGACCATGGCATGCTGGGTCAATTATGTCACATGTGGGCATGATGTCACTGGTGGCCCCACCCCTTACATATTTAAGAACTGCCAAGGCAGTGGAACAGTCAGACGGATGGGAGCCAGCGTCAGGGGCAGAGCCTTTTTCCCTGCCTTTTTTTGGGTAGCGGTGGCAGGTATCGTAACTGACGTTGGATCTACATCGGGGGACATTCTTTTAATAAAAGGACTTGTCAAAGCCTGTCTCTTGTCTTTTTTCCCACTACAGGTTTTTTTTGTGAATGGGTAGCAGTACCATGTACCCCATACTCATTCACATGGGGAAGGCCAGGTTCTGGGGGCCCCCTTGTTATAGGGGGCTTTCAGGTTCTGATAAGCCCCCCGCAGACCACCACAACCACAGCCCTGCCCCAAAGCACCCCCCCATGTTTAGGGTATGTGGCCTGGTATGGTTCAGAAAGGGGGAGGTGCTTGCTCATCCCCCCCCTTTTTCTGACCTGCTGGGCTGCATGCTTGGATAAGGGTCTGGTATGGATTTTGGGGGGGACCCCACGCCTTTTTTAAAAAAAAAATTTTTAATTGCCGGCAATTTTTATTTTTTACATTCAGCTGTCAGTGGAACCCTGCTGACAGCTGATGACTCATAGGTTGTTAAGCACTCGGCGGCCACACATTCTTTAACAACCCATGACAGTACTGACATGATAACAGTACATACTGCAAGCCTGGGCCACTACTTAATTACCACATGCATTTAATTATTTATTTCCTTTTGTGAATTGACTTTAAGGTCTATTTAGCTCATGTGGTAAGCTTTAGTGAATTGTGCGCACTGTGTGTAAACAATGGTGTATGTATTAGATTTTATTTACAAAGATATTTTTTCACACTATGAAATGAAAACAAAGGCCCTATTTTTGACAATATATTAAAAGACCCCAATAATTGCACTATTTTGGACAGAAAACAGATTGTAGTATTAGACTGTGATTGGTTTTATAATATATAAATAACAGCTTTGTATTAGGTTTACTTGAAATAAAAAAAAATGAAAATGAAAAATGTATGTTTCAAGTTGTTTTTTTCAGTTTTTTTATGCAAAAAAGTAAGTATTGATGGAATAAAATACTTTATACTACTACTCCTATGCATGAGAACTACATAAGAATGTATTTCCAACTTGATGGGAACATGGCAGGGCCCAGAAAAAAGGAGTGCATTCTGGCTATCAATGGCTGAAAACTACCATGTCGGTTTTTTGGCATCTACCTGAATTTACAGTGGCTCAGAAAAAGCAGGAGCCCAGAAACCCCACCAAAATCTTTAGAAAAGTAGACCCCTCAAGGTTTTTGGCAAGAGGTAAAACGTGGACTTTGAACCCCAATTTGTTAGAATGCACTTGGCAGCAATTCATTTGAATACAGAATTTTCAATAAAAGAGTAAATTCAGCCGGCACCTGTTTCTGAGGATGCTCTATCCCAGGAGACATCCTACATATATGGTGGACTTACCCTATGTTTTCCTGGTTCTGGACAAAGGTCCTTAACCTCCTACACTCATTATTAGCCTGACCTTTCCCAAGGGACCAGTGGCATGTCCTCCCACATCTGAAACCCCCAGGTCTCAACAAATACCAACTTAAGCTGGCTACCTATGTACTACTGGCGGCAAAACAAACCATAGCAAAAGCTTGGAAACAGCAGTTTATACCTTTAACAGAAGTTGCTGCTGCCTAGACCTTTCTCTTATTAATGAATAGCTTTCCAGCATTCTTTGGTTACCCACAAGAAATTTCTTCAAATATTGACTCCCTGGATCCAACATGCCCACCCTTCTATATCAACAGATAGTTTTACATTGCTATAAATTACAGAGATTCCATGACACGGATTTGGGCAGTCTTGATGTCCTTTCTTTGACATTTTTTTGGCTCTCCCGCAGGGACAAACTGTGGTTCGTTCTTTTGTATTTCTAGGTTTGTTCCTATGATCTGTGAATTTCATACACGGACACCTCTCTCACCAACGCCTGATTCCAGGCTATAGTTGTATGAATACTCTTTGGCTTTTTGCACTGATCCATTGTTAAAACACGATCAATGTACTTTTTGACATATGATCTACTTTGTTACTTGTTACGGATTTTTTATTTTATGTACGCCCGCATTTG